CACCAACCGGAACTTTTCCTGGCCAGGAGAGTCTACAGCCGAGTCCCAGGCCCGCTGTCGACCCGGCACCAGTGATTATGGTGAAGCTGGTTGTGTGAACATGAGCGGAAAACACCCCTGAATGAATGAAGCCCACAGGGCAGACGCCAAGCCTTCAATCACCCCCACAGATGATGGAGGCCAACCTCCGACCCTCTCCCTGCAGCCCCATCCTCCCAGGAGGCCACTGGGAAGAACAGGCTTCTCTCACCTGGAGCCTCCCTGGGGTTACCTGCTTGTGCAGCCCTACGCTCTGGGCACGGATAAGAGTCCGGCACAAACGGAGGAGCCTGCTCCAGCCTGACTGGCCAGAAGGCCCAGCTGCCTGAGAACTTAGAAACAGCATCTTTTCGCTTCCCCCTTCTATGGTTTCTTCATGTTAAAGTCCGCCCCCATTTCCAGGCCATCAGGCAGGAGAGAAAGAGAAGCCATCTGATACCTGCCCCTGGTTCACTCCCTGGCAAGCTGGTCCAGACATAGCCATGGGCTGGGGACCTGGTGGAGCAGTCCACCCTTTGACGGGCTGGCTTGCCTGGCCCAGGGGCTCTGGGACAGACCAGGTCCCTGGCTGGGCTGCCAACAAGGCACAGCCCATTCTTCCTTCTGCTGCCCGGGGAGGCACCAGCAGCAGGTGGAGCCTTCCCAGGACGTGGTCCCAGGACAATCCCAGCCCAAGGGTGGCTCTGCCCATCGCTCCGTGAGCACAGGGAAACTTGGGCTGGGTTGGCAATGCCCCTCAGCAGGGACACAGGAAAGGTCCTGGCTTTGGTGAGCTGAGCCCCACCCCCGAGGTCCTGGCCTCCCGGCGCTGGCCTTGCCTCCGGATGGAAGTCAACGCAGCAAGAGCTGTGATGGTGTGAGAGGGCTGGGGTCAGAAGGGGACCTTTCCCGAGAACCATGGCACTGAGCTGACGCTCGGCGCAGGGAGGAGACTGCCCACGGCTTGTCTAGACCTCTCAGGAAGTGCCTTGTGGAGCCCTGAACGGGCAGGTGGCTGTAGGGCAGTTCACCCCGGGGCACACGAAGCCCACAGCAGGCCGGACTGTGGCGCCACTCAGATACCCTCGGAGGGATCCATCACTTCTCGCTCACATGCTCACTCCCCACCTTTTCTAACTGCTGGGTTCACGTGTCTGCTGACTCCTTCCTTCCCAACCCTGACACTTTCTGAGAGGACACTGCAGGCCCTGCCCTCCCTGGACTCACCGCTGCTTTCCAGAGCTCCGTCCATCCGCCAGGCCCCCTGGCAGCCACTTGAGGCCCCTGGCCCGCAGCCCACTGACAGGGCCCTGCTTCCCACCTGGGGAAGGTCTGCATCCCCGCTGACAGCTGCTCCCGGGAATCAGCAAGGCTCCCCCTGCCCCCCATGACTTTGGTGGCCAGAGGCAGCTGTGGTGCTGTCCCCTTCACAGGATTTCCTGGAGACCAGATTCAAGCAGGGTAAGGGTCTGCCTTTTTCTGGGCACAAGCAGCTCTGGGCAAGCGTCCGTTTTTCTCCCTGCTCTAAGGAGAAAGTCAGGCTGCAATCCCCAGCTCTTTTCTGCCCTGAGTGAATGGAACTGCGAACTGGACCCATGATTTGTAGGATCTGAATCCTCCTCCGACTACACCCACAGGGTGGTCAGTACTCTCTCCGGCACTGAGCGAGGTTCCCATTCCTGCCAACACCTGGAGACTGTCGTGGAGAAGTCACTGCACGGGGTTTGGTGGGCGTGGCTCCACTGTCACACAATCACCCCTGCTCTCTTGCCCATGCCACATGAGGCAGAAAATGCCAGGACGGTGACGTGAAGGACGGCGTGTGCACACTGAAGGCGTCCCCAAGCCAAGGGGACACAGCCCGCCACGCCCTCGCAGGACCCAGCCCCAGAGCTTGGAAAGCCAGCATTCAGCCGGGGAAGCGTTGGGCATCGGTGGGCATGGCCGCCTGCCAGTGTAGGGTTCTCCCTTCCTCCTGGAGCCTGGTTTCCAGCAGCAGTGACCAGACCGTGTCAGTGTCTGGCGGATGCACCAGCCCCTCAGGCCAAGCTGGGCTGCCCAGCCTTCCTCTCTAGCAGGAAGAGTGGTTCAGATGATCTCAACAGGAGCGCCCAGTTCTCCCCAGCAACATGGAAAGCTCCACTTACTGCAGGAGGAATACTGCGGTGAGGGGGGCTGCCTTTACTCACAGTCCTGACACACTACCCTGCTTGCCAGCAGCCAACTCACCCACCAGTGGTGCCCCCCCTGCCTAGAAGACAGGTGGGTAGGCAGTCCAGGGCATTACCAACTGTCCTGGCAGAACCCCTTCTCCACACCTTGTCAAAGCTGGTCTGATCAGATCTCAGCAGCCACAACCGGCTGCCTCCACACATGGCGGCCCTTCTGCTGTCATTTCTATAGCGAAGCACATCCTCTCCATTCACCTACGTTTAACTCAGAGACACCGGGGGCTGAGCAGAGCTGCCGCGGAACACGGGTGGTCTCTGTGGTTCCAGGCGGCTCCAGGGGAGACCCAGGAGGCATTCCTTTTGTGTGGTGAGCAAAGAGCACACTGAAGGCATTGGGGCCACGAAGGAACTGTCACTGGCCAAGGACAGCACCCTCCACCCCCTCACCAGGTGCAACCTGGACTCCAGATGCATGAAGACCACTCCCCCGTATCATGTAGGTCATGGTAGAAGGAGATCGTCAGAAGGAAATGGAGAAAATGGAGTTTTTCCTGCCACAGAAAGCTCAGGCTAAATCCTAATTTCTTCTCCCACATTTTTTCTAGTCCCTGAAGAAATATCTAAATGTTTGCTTTTGTCCAAAGATAGTAAGTCCCCTAGAATTGCTTCAGGATAATATTTAGCTATAGTTTTTCATTAGCTCCCTTTCTAAAACCTCTAACATTACAGCTTTTAGTCTTCACATGACAGGTATCGGAGCAATCGTTATTAAAATCAGAGTTTGCAAAGGAGTGGGGCTTCTCTGGCAAAAATCCATACACGTAACAGGGCTATCTAGGCCCAGCCACTGCAACGGGAGGGACGTGAAGTGTAGCAGCCACTTGGTGGGGGGGGGGGGGGGGGGGGGGTGGTGTTGGGATTTTAACCTGAAGAAACTTGCATTTTCTGGTTATTTATAGCTACCCACATAGCCACAGCATAGAAATTCACATTATAAATGTGTTTCTTTTCCTTTGGGGGAATTTTACAGGATAAAAAAGACTCGGGTGGGGCCCTTAAATCAGCTGTATCTAAATCTTTCATCTCTCTCTCTCTCTCTCTCTCTCTCTCTCTCTCTCTCTCTCTCTCTCTCTCTCCCTCTCTCTCCCCCGTAAGAATGGAATCACTGAGAATGAAAATGTGTATAATTGTTCCTGGACCTCAGCACCCAAAACAAGAAGGGTAGAATGAATCCTCTCAGGGACCCTAAAGACGAACACCCAGCACGGCCTTAAACAGGCGCACTCAGGAGCTGCGGGGAGTTTCAAAGCAGCCCTCCCAGCCCTAGACAGATGGACCCCAACTTATTTCTCTCCCCTCCGCCCACCATTTACACAGCCACAGAGGCCTCCCAGGCAGAGCTGAAACTATGAAGGCTGTCGTGTGTGAGCTACCCTTTTATGTGGACAGGCCTTCTACCATCTGCAAGACGCTTTGTGGCAAAATCAGGGCCTGGGGGATAGACTTCCGCCTCTGCTCCCCACACCAAGGCCCGAACCTCCCGAAGGGGCCACAGCAGCCCCCCTGCAAATGCCCCAGGACAGAGCCAGGACGGCGGGGACCTTCCTCCTGCTCTGAACCACCGGGTTTCGGGGAGTTGGATGCTCACAAAAGCACCTTTGTGTGGCTTCACTTCCCGTTACTATCACACTGCCAAAAACTACAGCAACAACACAGTGACAGCGTGTAAAAGCCGACACAGGCATGATAGCTAAGCACAAGCACATGTCCCCACTCTGAGTAAGCGTGGTGGAGGGGCTGCGCCTGCCCCCAGAATCCTCTGCAGGAGCCCGCCCAGGGCGGCCCTGCCTCTTTCCAGTCCTAAGCCCTCCTCGCAGATCCCTAGGAAAACCTCCTGGCAGGTTTCTAGGAAAAGCCATGGCTTCCTCCCACCCCCATTCCCAGACACTGCACTAGCCTCTCCCTGGGAGCCCCCCAAGGCACGGCCACCACCCCTGGCTGCCCAGCTCAGGAGCTGCAGATGCACCTCACCCCTTTCAGATCAGATCAGACTTGCCGTTTAAAACCTCTCCCCTATTTCACTCACCCTCCTAAAGAAGAATATCTTTTCTGCTTTCTAGATCATTCCCAATAGGAACTGGTTTTTAAAGAGAGAGAGGGCGCCGGCCTTGGCAGAGATCTAGGAGGGCCCACCAGGTGCTCTGACAAACGCTCCCGGTCAAAACGGAGGGGACACCTTCCATCTTAAAAGTCAAAGAACAGAGACAAGGCCTTTGCAGCTGCTCCTTCCCAGAATGGCTGGCCTCGGCGTGCCCCAGACCTTCAGAAAGGACCCTGCGGACCCCGGGCCCCACACCCCCAGAACCGGCCACCCAGCCAGAAACATAAAGGGGTGAGATAAAACTGAAGCAGGTACCCCTTTAGTTCACCCATTCTGGAGCCGGCAATTCCCTAGCCTGTTCCTACCTGATTTCGTGTCTGTTGTTTAACATTAACACAAACGCCACCCTCTCCCCAGAGGAGGCAGCGGGTGCATCGGTAACCTGTTCACCGAGTGTGCGTGGCTGTGACATCCCTAGCGCGGTCATCTCCACCCCGGGCTTTCCGGTGCAGTCACGGTAAATGGGTGCGTGAGTAAACGAGCTGTGGGTGTGAGTGTGGACCTGCGCGTTCTCTCCTCCGTGCGGGCGCGGGGCCAGAGTCCGACCGACCGGCACCCGCCCTCGGCGCCAGGCCCAGCCCTCAGCTGCTCTTCAGCAGGGGGTCCTCGGCGGCGCGGCTGCCCCCTCCCCGCCCGGCCCGGCCCGCCAGCTACCTGCAGCCGCACGCCTCCACCACCATGTCCTCGTATTGCTTGTAGACCACGTTGTTGGCGGCGTCGATGTAGAGGATGCTGATGGGGCTGAGGCGCGCGGGCACGCAGCAGGAGGCCGGCGCCGCGTCGGGCGCCATGGAGTTGAGCAGCGTCTGGATGATGGCGTGGTTGGTGGGCTCGAGGTGCGAGCGCAGCGGGAAGTCGCAGACGCCCTCGCAGTGGTACGCTTGGTAGTCCAGCGGCGCGATGATCCAGTCATCCCAGCCCAGCTCCTTAAAGTCCACGTGCAGCGGCTTGCGGCTACAGCGGGTCCGGCCCCGGCGCCCGTGGCCGCGGCCCGCGCCCCCGCCGCCGCCGCCGCCCGGCGCAGCCCGGGCCCCAGCCAGCGCGGTCCGCCGCCTCCTGCGACCGCCAAGGACAGCAGTCAGCGCCCCGGCGCCGGGTCCCGGGTCGGGCGGCTGTTCGGCGGCCGGCGCGGCCCCGAGGGTGCGGGCCTGGGCGCGGATCTCTCGGAACAGGCTCTCCTTTCTCTGCGTGCGGGAGGACACCACCAGCAGCGCGCGATCCTCCGCCGCCGCGCCGCCGCCGCCGCGAGCGCCGAAGCCCAGGCGTCCCAGCGCCAGCGGCCCCCGCGCCGGACCCGCCGCCGCGCGCAACCACAGGCAGAACGTGCGGGGGGCGCGCGGCTCCCGGCGGTGGCTCCGGACGGCGTCCGCCACGTCGAACACCTCCCAGCGCTCCCCGCTCAGGGGCTCGGCGGCCCGAGAGTGCAGCAGGCTCGGCGCGCGCGCGGCGTCGGGGCACGTGGACAGCTGCAGCAGCGGCGGGGGCGCCGGCGGGCCGCGGCCGTGCTCCGGGGGCTCGCGGCGCAGCACGCGCAGCTCCGCGCCCACCACCTCGTCCGCGTCGGCCAGGCTGGACAGGTCGAACAGGAACCTCTGGCCGGTCTCGGCTGCCGATTCGTCTGCAGGGGACGGGCAGAGACACAGAGAAAGAGCCGCCTGTGAACGGAGTTCGCACTCCTGGCCGTCGGGCCGCCTAACTGCAAAGGGCCAGACCCAGAGACGGGAGTGAGGCCCGCGGGAGCCGGCGCCCGCCCCCACGTCTCGGCCCCAGCCCGCAGCTGCCAGCCGGGTCCAGGGGAAAGGAAGTCCGACTTTCATGGAGCCAAAAGGCCCTCCACCGCGACAACCCGCCCGCATCCACTTACTGCTGAGCGGCGCGGCCAGGAGCGTACCCCCCACCCCCCCAGCCTAGACCAAGACTGCAGGACCGCCGCCTGCCCCAGAGCCACGGGCTCGCGGGGACTAAGTCGGAGGCCAGACTTTCTCTGCTGGTGGCGGACGTGGGCCTGGTGGACGCCTCGGAAGTCGTGCGCCCCTCCCAAGGCCCGGAGACGGTTTGCCCGGGAGCCCGAGCGATACGGGACCGCTCCTGTTTGGTCTGCCAAGCACCTACAGGAGCCGCGGTGTCCCGGCTGCACGAAACGGATAATTCCTGTCCCCAGAAAACTGCCCCTTCACTCCCTCAGCCCGGTCTGAAAGGTCCAGCCGGCTCCCAGGCAGATTCGTCCGGAGGGGACGCGTCAGCAGGGCTCCAGAGTCCCTCTAGTGCGCCCAGCCTCCTCGCTTCGCCCACGGAAAACAGACCCGGATCCGGCCCCAACGCTGCGGGTCGCGTTGCGGAGCTCCATGCTCAGCTTCTCCCAGTGTTCCCTCCGCCTCCGATGGAGGCGGGAAGGCCGCAAAGGGGCACCAGGGGCCTTATCAGAAGGGTGTGGGCAGCGTGACCACTGCCTTGCAGTGAGGGCAGTGGGCTACATGAGGTCTCTCGCCTCCAGGACCCCGTCTCTTCGCTGGCTTACTCTTTCTCTCCGCTATGACTTATCTCGGGCTTCCGAATTTTATTTCTTGTCGTATTCACTCTTGTCTTTGGGGGCTCAGAGAAAAAAAAAGTTGACATTCCACCAAGCAGCAGATAAGGAGCTCCCTTTGAAGGGGGTCATCTGGTTTCGTTTTGCCCCAAACACAGAGGCGGTGCAGACTCCCCACCAGTGGACATGTTTGCTCACCAGCCACCGTGGCCAGGCCCTGGGCTCTTGAGGTCCGAGGTGTGGGCACTGCCAGTGGCCTCCTGAGAGGCCTCAAGAAGCCCAGCTCTACGTTGGAGCTCAGGATGGAGAGGGAGGCAGCAGAGTCAATGAGCAAATACTCCCCTCCCCCCCAACACACAAACACACACACACACACACACACACACACACCCGGGCATGCTTTCTTCCCAGGCCTGGCTCTGGAGCACTTTCTCTGACCTTGCCCTACAGCCTCTCCCTGCTTCAAGGTGCTGCCACTGCAGCCCTTCCCTCCAGAGGGAGGAAGGACACACCGCCTTACCTGCCTTAACAGCCAAGCTGGCGGCCCAGGAAAGGATTTGGCTGAGGCTGAGGCACGCCCAACAACCAAAGAAAGAGGGTCTGGTGATTCTGCCAGCCTAGGGCCCTGCACACCCTAGCTCTCCCCTAACAGGGAGCCCACACAGCAGCCTTGGGGCTGGGGCTTCCCTGGGCCTGTACGCCAGGACCCAGCCTTCCGATGAGGACCGGAGCCTCCAGTCCTGGGCGCCCGCCAGGCCCTGAGAGGATGCTTGAAAGTTCTCCCCAGACTACAGGGCCATTGGGCCCAAGCTGTCCCTGCACCCAAAGTAAAGCAGCCTGTGTGTGTGTGTGTGTGTGTGTGTGTGTGTGTGTGTGTGTGTGTTGGGCAGGGTGGGTGACTTGCTCCCAGCCAGGGCCAATACTTGCTTTCCAGCCCCATTTGCCTTCCCTTCCCTCCTGCCTTTTATGCTGGGTCTCTGGCTGTTTAGAATTAAGGCTGAAATTACTTAAATCTCCCCTATCTATCTGCTTTAATGACATCAATAGAGATTAATAAAATCCAGATGACACAGCAATCACCACGGCCTCACCCGGCCCTACCTTTGGAGAGCCTGGGAGGGAGGGAGGAAGGTGGGGTGCTTGGTCCTAGAGAGGCCTGCATTCCTGCCCCACCGCTGGGCCCTTGGGAGTCCCGGACCACCAGCGGGCCCAGGGGCCCAGCACGGGAACCCACAGCCACACACCTGCACCCAGACGCGGCAGAGAAGTGCCTCTGTGTACCTGGTGATGCCGCCTGCCTCTCTAGGGCCATTTGCTTTGGTCTGATGCCTGCCTCTCTCTCGCATGCCCCTGAGTTACCCCCAATTCGTACAGCCCCCGAGAGACTGGGAGCTGCTCCTAGGTTGCTGCTAACGAAGAAGCGGCCACCACCGCTACCTCTACGCAGTCCCTCTCAGCCAGACCCCTCCTCCGGGTTCTCCGGGTCTCCCGCTCAGCCTGCCTGCCTCCTCGAGGGGGCCGCCGGCCGCCGGGCCAGGGCAACCCAGAGGGATGGACCCAGCCCTCCGCGGCCGGCCCGGGAGCTGCCGCGTCTCTCGCCACGATCCCGGCGCCGCAGGTTGGGAGCATGGGCCCGGGCGAAGTTTCTAACACCTGAGGCTGGGCCAGGCCGCCCCGGGATGGAATGGCGCAGGGGCACGGCGCCGGCGGCGGTCTCCAGCGAGACGGGACGGGACGGGATGGACGGGCGTAGCAGAGGCGCGAGTACCTTGGGTCGCCTGGTCCGCGAAGCCGGTGATGGTGTCCGCGCGGCCGTGGCGGCCAGAGCCCGCGGAGGAGGCGGCGGCGGCCCCGGCCGGAGCCCTCCCGGCCAGGCTCCGGTAAAGCGACATCATGAACTGGTGCGGCACCACCGAGCCGTTCCTGAAGCCGGAGCCGGCGGCGCGGCGCGAGGCGCGGGCCCCGGGAGCCGCGGCGGCCGGGGCAGCAGAGGCGCCCGCAGCCGCGACGAGGGTGCGCCCGCCGCCGCCGCCGCCCCCCGGGCCCTCGGCCGGCCCTGCCCCCGCCACTCGCAGCACCGCGGCGGCTTCGAGCCCGTCGCGGGGGCGGCAGGCGCTCAGCAGCCAGAGGCACAGCGCGGCGGCCGCGCTCAGGTCCATGGGCTCCGTGGGCCGGGCGGGCGGGCGGCGCGAGCTCCGTGGCTCCGGGAAGTCCCCCGGCGCCTTTTGAACATAGTGTTTAATAATGGGGGACGTGTGCGCGGCGAGCAGCGCCCCCTCCCACCCCACCCCACCCCACCCCCGCCGACGCCCGGAGCAGCGCCCCCTGCTGAACGCTCTCGTGGCCGCGCCGCGCCCCCCACTCCCGCCTGACGCGGAGTCCGGGGCAGGAGCCTCCCACCGCGTCCCCACCCCGCACCGGATCGCGGCGCCCCGACTCTGGACCCGCAGGGGACGCCGGCCAGGGCCTCCCGCACGAAACCAGGCCCCGCCTCCCTGCCCCGCGGCCTGGGGACCCCGCTCCCCCTCCGCCCGCGCCGCACCCGAGCCAAACGCGCCCCCCGGGTTTGGGGACTCCGGGAATCTCGGCACCCGCCCCACCCGGCTTCCTCCCACTCCCCTGCGGAGAGCCGCCCTCCCTCCCGGCTCGATTCCTCGAGCGCCCGGGCGCCAGAGGCTGGGGCGGCGGAACGGCCCGGCCCCGCCCGTCGGTGCCGAGAGCCCGTGGCCAAGGCGCACCGAGACGCCACGGGGTCGCGCGGGCCGGCCGCGAAGGCGCGTTTTTTGATAACCAGTTCGGCTGTGCCCCGCGCCTGCCACAGCCCCGAAGACCAGAGCCGGCGGCCGGAGCAGGGAAGGGGACCCGTAAGGAAGAGCGAGCAGCTGGACCGGCAGGCGGGAAAGACAGAAGGATGCGGACTGACGCTCGGAGAGCAAAGGTTTGGGCGCGGGACGTGCGCTTAAGCTGGAGCTCAGATCTCCAAAGAGCACAGGAATGACGAAGGCAGCGCCGGGGTGACAGGAGACTCCCGCGCGGGAGTGGCGCCCCAAGTTCTCTGTGCGTTGACAGTGAAGACCTCCTGCCAGCCCTCTACGGGTCTGGCTAACGGGAAAGGGCCACCGGGTATATTGGGGTGCAGCCAGAAGCCGGTGGGCGCGAAGACCCCCAGGGGGAGGGTGCCTCTGTACTTCTCCTCTCCCCACTCCCCCCCCCCCCCGCAGCGGTTGTCGCTCGCTGGGAGCCGGGTTGCTGGAGGGGGCGCCCAGCGGCGGTGGCTCCCAGGAGCGCACTCTCTCGGGCGCAGGGCATTTGTGTCCGTAGCGGCAGGGGCAGTTCCTAAGGCCAAGACTCAGGGGCAGGAGCAGGGGAGGGTGGTCGTAGGCGGGTGTGGCTCAGCTCCACCGGCAGCCGGAACTCCCCTGAGTGCGGGAGCCTCCGGCGGAATGAGGGGCTGCTGTTAGGCAGACGGAGGGGCTGAGCCCAGCGGACGCCCGAAGCGGGGCAGGTGCGTCCTTTTCCTTGAAAATTGCATTTGCTCCCGAACTGGAAATCTAGGCGGGGGCGGGGCATCACGGTCACTTGGAGTGGGAGATGAGCGTCAACGCGATGTCTCAGGACCCAAAGCCACGGGAGGTGCAGGTGCCACTCTCACCGACGCGTTGCACTCTGACACAGTTCCCTTGCATCAGCCGCTCCCTCCCAAGCGAACTCCTGGCCCATCCCGGCCACTGTGGAGACAAGGCCACTGGGAAACAGGGGCATAGGACGGGCAGGAGAGGCCTGGTGAGGGTCACTCCTCGCAGACCCCACGCCCATCAGGTGGGCGGAGAAGAAAGGCGTGAGATGAGGTTGGGAAGGTCTGGGCAGCAAGGGTGGCGTGGAACTGGGATGGCCAAGACTGGTCAGAGAGCATCGCCACAGGTGTCCCTGCTAGAGTCACCACCACTGGTCGGGCTCATCAAGGCTCAGCGTGGGGCTTCCTCTTGGGGGCTGCAGGGGCCTTTGGTGGTGGGGGAAAGGGGCAGGCAGGAGGGAGACCTGCACGTTGTGCTCGACCTGCTGCTAAGCGCATTTTGAAGGGAAATTCTTCTGGCCTCTGTGTTGCCCCAGCAGTCACTGGGCAGCTGTTGAGGAGCCCAGAGGCAGGTGCAAGAAGTTTCGAGAAGGCTGGGAGCAAACTGGCACCGGAGTTCTAACTTCATCCTGCATCGGTCTAATGACCACCCCCAACCTCCAGAATCCCAGACTCCTGCTGTCTCAGAGAGAGGAGGTGAGTTTGGCTCCAACAGGGGAAGAGGAGGAAAGCCACAGGGATAGGGAGTGGGGTTGAGGGTGTTTCTTGACTGAGGTGGGGAGGGCTGGTCCCCACATTCTCACCCCAGGTCCTTACCTCGGAGAACACTTTTGCTGCTCATCCCTCCCCTGCAGAAGCTGTTTGCTTTCTCTGAGGATTTGGTCTTTGATTCAGGACACAGAATCCCAGGATCTGGAAGAAACTTTGGGGTTGTCTAGGGCCTAGACAAAATGCACAGTTTGCAGTGGTCGGCAAACTGCGGCTCGCAAGCCACATGCGGCTCTTTGGCCCCTTGAGTGTGGCTCTTCCACAAAATAACAACTTCTGCGCATGGGCCACGAAGTTTCGATCGCACTATATGTGCGCGCCTGCACGTGGTATTTTGTGGAAGAGCCGCACTGAAGGGGCCAAAGAGCCGCATGTGGCTCACGAGCCGCTGTTTGCCGACCATGAGCCTAGGTATACAGCAGGTTATACCATCTAGGTTTGTGTAAGTACACTCTATGACCCTTGCACAAAGACAAAATCACCTAATGATGAATTTGTCAGACCATGTCTCCGTTTCTGAATTGTAGCAGGGATTATAATTGGAACAGCAGAGAACCGGTAGAGGAGGGAAGTGGTAATTTATTAGAATTTTCAAGAAAATGCCTCTCTGTAAGTCATATTCAAGTTGAGGCAAGAAGATAAGGGCCTAGCCCTGTGGTCGGCAAACTGCGGCTCGAGAGCCACATGCGGCTCTTTGGCCCCTTGAGTGTGGCTCTTCCTAAGCCTTAGGAGGACCTTAATTAAGTTAATAACAATGTACCTACCTATATAGTTTAAGTTTAAAAAATTTGGCTCTCAGAAGAAATTTCAATCGTTGTACTGTTGACATTTGGCTCTGTTGACTAATGAGTTTGCTGACCACGGGTCTAGACCAACCTCCATGCCATGCCTGAATTGTAACAAACTGCTACCCAGGCAGTGCTTGTGGGGACAGGGCGCCCCAACCCCAGGCGGCCTTCTGATAGCTCTGAACGTGACCATGTTTTGTCTTAGCAGACCCAGGAGAGACACAGCATCTCCCAGGCAACTTCGCAGCGGGGATTTACATGCCACCTGGAAACACGCGTCTGGAACATGAGTTCAAGCCCCTTGGGAAGTTAGTCTTGGATTCTGCCGGCTGGTCACCTTGTGGTGACCTTCAAGCACCAGAACTTGGGTCAGCTGCAGGGACAGTCTACTCAGCTTCAAGCCACATCCCAACCCCAGTCCCTCATGTCTGATGCCCTGAGCACAAGGACGTCCCTTAGAGACAGATGTGTGCAAGGTTATAAGGAAGCCAGGTCCCCAAGGTGGGCAAGTGATCAGACGCTGTTACTGGGCATCACAGCCTCCTGGGATGGCGGGTCCCCTCTGCGCTCCTGTTCCTTTGTTCTCCAGGCAGCACAGAAGGTCTCACCACAGCTCTGCCCTGGGCACCCTGTAGACAAGGCGTAATGAGGACTCAGCCTCTGCCTTGTCCACTTTTGGGGTGTGCGGGGTCCCTGCAAAAAAGCATTATTTCAGAAGACAGAACAGGTGCTCCCCGGCCATGACTGGTTGGTGCTCCTGAGAGTCAAGAGACCCGAATTCGCCCAGCTGGCGTGACTCAGTGGTTGAGCATTGACCTATGAACCAGGAAGTCACAGTTCAATTCCCGGTCAGGGCACATGGCTGGGTTGCCGCCTTGATCCCCAGTTTGGGGGGTGCAGGAGGCAGCCAGTCAATGATTCGCTCTCATTATTGATGTTTCCATCTCTCTGTCCCTCTCCCTTTCTCTCTGACATCAATACAAATAGATATTTTTAAAGAGACCAGAATTCAAATCCTGCCTCTAACCTCAAGCTGCAAGTCCCTTAGCCCTAACTAGCTTTAGATCCTCAAATGCACAGTGAGGCTGACAATCAAATGTCCACTGAGGGTTCACCTGTGAGAGGTGAAGGGCATGTGGGCATGGGGCCGCTGCCAGGCACCCGGCCAGGAGCCTGCCCTCGGTCTGGACCTACCATGGCCCCTGGCCTTTGTGACTCAGAGCTGGAGAGAGGGTTAGGCTGGAGCTCTGCCCTGAGGAAGGTATCGCTGGGAGGGCAGGAGAGGGAAGGTGGTGATGTTACCTGCAGAGGCAGCTGCCTGCTGGCCCTCACTACACCTGGTGGTACTGATCTCCACTCAGCCAAGAGGTGCTGCAAATGTCTCCCCCAGAAAGGCCTGGATGGGCTGCCTGGGCCACAGGTGTGGGAAGATTCCAGCAGTGCTCTGGCTGGACTTCCTGTCTGATGCTGGGGCTGGGTTTCCTTGGGCTCTGAGGAATTTCCCAGGGCTGCCCTGCTCCAGGTTACCCCCGGCAACAGCTCTGGCATCTACACCCAGTGGGCTGCAGCCAGGCTCAGGGCCACTGGCTTGACCTGCCACTGGCTTGACCTGCCATTGGGCTCTGGGCCTTTGCATGGGGGAGGGGAGGGGACAGAAAAGGGAGGAGGGTGGGTTCTTTCCCCGAAGTTCCACAGGGGACCTCTCTGAGCCCTCTGTTTGGGACAAATGCAGAGGGCTGGCGGACACTGCCATCTGCTGGTCACCGGTAATGTGTGCTACCACTACACCCCAGCTTCTGCTGTGCATCTCTGGGGCTTTCCATGGAGGGAAGGCGGGAAGGGCAGAGGGTCTGCGTGTTTCCCGGGCCAGGTTTACAGACTCAGCTTTTCCGTTCCGGAGCCACTTTGGCAGGTGTCAGGGTCTCGGCTTCTCATCCCATGGTGAGGTGAGTCCATATGAGAGGGTCTGTCATACCCTGCATCCTCTACCTCTAAACCCCCTTGCCCTGATCCAGCTGTAGCCCCAACGGCAGCCATCAGAGGCATGCCAGGCACAGCGAGTGAGCCCACAGAGGGAAGGAGGCAGAAGGGTCAGGACAGGGACCTGGAGGCAGCAGGTCCACCGACACACTGAGAGCACAGGGCAGGAGGGTCCTCTCACTGAGACGCCCAGAGCCTCCACGGGCCTGGAGAGAGGCCCAGATCAGCGGGTATTATTGAATGTGTGAATGAATGAATGAGTGAGCCATGAGAGAGCTCTGGCTGGTTTGGCTCAGTGGATAGAGCGTCAGCCTGTGGACTAAAGGGTCCCAGGTTTGATTCCAGTCAAGGGCACATGCCCGGGTTGTGGGCTCCATCCCCAGTGGGGGCATGCAAGAGGCAGCCGACCAAGAAAGCCTAGAGAGAGAGAGAGAGAGAGAGAGAGAGAGAGAGAGAGAGAGAGGAGAGTAGCTTTGTGATGGAGTCCAACTAGGAGAAGAAACAGAGCAGAGTCTTGTCTTCTTAGTTGCTAAACATTAGAACAACACAAACACAATGACTAAATGTCTTTTTGTGCCAGGCCCTGGGCTGAGTATTTTACAGGTGGTTGCAAAGAAGTGGGAAGTTTGTGGATCTGAGTTCCAGGGCGGTGGGGTGGGAAAGGGAGGCTGGTTCTTTGGGGAAATACAGTCAAGCAGAAGCCCTACCTACTCTTCCCAGAGTGTGGGGAGCCGCTCTGGGAGGGGGTGTCCTTAGGAAGGGAGGGCCTGAGCAGGAGGGTACCCGGAGAGGGGACTGCACACAGAGAGGTGAGCGGCTCTGTGAGAGGGAAGCTTTGGGTGACAGACTCCTTGGCAAAGTGTAGACTCCTCTGAGCACCTTCTCCACTAGACCTTGACCTCCCGCCTTCTCTCCACCCCCACCCCGCCCCACACACACTTTGTCCTGCCTGGGCCACTCTGCAAATATGATGCTGAGTCAACTTTAGAAAGAATCCCCCAGCCTGGATATCTGATCAGCCTGGATCTCTGACCAGGTTCCTCGACATCTGAGTCCTTGGCCTGCCTTCAGCAGATGCCTGCCAGGCTCCTTTAGCAAGACTCCCCCTCCCCTGGTGTCCCCTCCAGGAATTCTCCTCCCCTGGTCCTCTCCCTGCTCCGTGGCTGTAAATCCCCACGTGTCCCTGCGGGGCTCAGAGTTGAGCCTCAGCTCTCTCCTATTGCAATAGTCTTGAATAAAGTCTGCCTCGCCTTTTTAACACGTGGCAAAATAACTTTTTTTTTTAGCAGAAGAAAGACAGTTGTTGTTTTTTCAGTTTTTGTTGAGAACTCCCTGTTAGCCTCCTCCAGGAGAGCCACTGGAAGGCCTCTGGAGTCAGGCTGTTGTTTCTTTAGCTGCCGCCCCCCCCCCCCCCAACACACACACACACACACACATGAGCACACACACACACACACACACACACACACACACACACACAGGGGTCTAGTTTATCTTGTTTGCTGGGTTATATGTTCCCCCATTTGACCCTCCTAGCATCTCTCTGAGCATCTCTAGGGACATGAGCACTGGTGGCATTGTTCCCCCAACACTCTCCCCAAGGCAGGGAGACCAGATAATTTCTCTTTGAACCAGGACATTCTGGGAACTCCTATGAGTGACACCAGCAAACCAAGGGTCCTTATGACCTTGATTAAATTTAAGTTTAAATCCCAGCTCCGGAAATCATAGCGCTCTCTCTCTCTCTCTCTCTCTCTCTCTCTCTCTCTCTCTCTATATATATATATATATATATATATATATATATATATATATATATATATATATATATATATATATATATATATATATATATCCCCTTCAGGGACCTAGGTTTTCCCCTGGATAATCAACAACCCCGAGATAGCAGGGAACAGTAGCCTGGATCTGACTAAGGACTGCAAGGTCCCAGCCTCTGACGAGCTGAAGATAACTTTTTTATTTTTTTAAATTGATTTTTGAGGGAGAGAGAAACACTGATTTGTTGCTCCATTGTTTGTATAATCATAGGGGGTGCAGGGCCGGATTATCAGAAAGGTCCGTAATTGAACGTCGCCTCTGGTCCAGCGCGATGGCCACCAGGGGGCGGGCGAGAGCAGGAGTCGGCCGTGCGCGCGGGGCGGGGCGCGGCGACGCCGGCGCCGGCAGGTCCCGTGACAGCGCCCCGCCCCGGCCGCCGGCATGCAGCGCCCCCCGGTGCTCGTCACTTCCAGGTGAGCCAGGCTCGGGCGCCCCGAGGCCGCGTCCTGCGCGTCGTGGAGGCCGGGGACGCGCGAGCCGCGGCCCCGTGCGCCCGGGCGGAGCAGCCGGCGGGGACGGCGGCCCCCGGGGGTGACCCGCCGCCGTCCGTCCGGCCTCGCCAGCGCTCTGGCCACTTCTCTGGGCTCGGCCCCTGCACCGCCCTGCAGAGAGTGGGCGGCACCCGGTGTCCCCGTTTTACAGATGGGGAAACTGAAGGCCCCGGAGGGTAGCGCGCTCACCCAAGACGCTCCCCCCGCCCCCCCCGCCCCCCCCCCCCCCCCCCGTTCATTTCAGTTTGGCGCAAAAATCTCGTCCTGCATCCCGTGGGTGCTCAGCTGCTCAGCACTGGGGACAGGGGGACCCAGGGAGATGCACGCAGAACCGCAGGGACAGGTGCTGGGAGGGGGAGGAAGTCCAGGTTGCCGTGGGAACGCAGGGCAGGGGTGTACCCAGCTTCTGGGAGGGGGTGAAGGAGGCCAGCCCTGCAGGAAGGGGGGACGTTACCCAGGGAAGGGGTGGGAAGAAGGGGCAGCTGCTCAAGGAGGTAGCTCCGGAGAAGCGCAAGTTACAGCAGCGGCCTTGGAGGGGCCCCAGAGGGGAGGATGCAGCCTGGGCCACCCCCCACCCCCCTCCCCCCGCCACCACCCCCACCCCCTGGTCCAGGCCTGGAGGACCCCGGGCAGGATGGACCCGGAAAGGCGGTTCAGGACACACTTTTACTCTGCTGCTCCTTCCTGCCTTTCAACATCTGTAAAGTGACTCACCACGTATTTTCACGTACTCCACCCTTGTTCCCCCTACATGAAATCGTGAGCAAAGACGCCAATTTTATTGCACAAATGAATGTTATTTTCCCAGCTGTAACTGAACTTCCCTGGGACTCCAGGTCTGGAAAACAGGATCCTTTAAGTAAGTCCGGATGGGAGAGCCTGCTTGGTCTCCTCTGCAAAATACAGCGAGGGTGCAGGTCACGGCTTCACTGGCAGAAGAGCTCTCCCCGGTGCCACATAAGTCACCGCCTCGCTGAGCCTCAGTTTCCTTTTGTGTAAGAACAGGGTTTGAGGTTGGCAGAGAGGCGCAGGGCAGCAGCAGGCACCCTTCTCAGCCGCTGGCAGACCCGTGGGGGTGTGGCTTTGATGCTGGGTCCACACAGCAGCCCCTGCGAGGACCCGGGGGCTGGAGGTGAAGGTCAGGTCCTCGGTGCCCTGGCTTCTTGGTGGCAGGCACCAGCAAACCTGCAGGGATGTGCCAAGGCCACCTGCAGGGATGTGCCAAGGAAGGCCCCGCCTCCCCCCACCATCACCAGGAGCACTCACACCTTCATCCAGCAGAGCTTCGACGAGGCCTTCTCTGTGCCTGTGCAGGACGCTCAGCTGTCCCTGATTTTCCAGGAGCCCACTTTCTCTGCTCTCACCTGTTTTCCTGCTGGGAACAGCCTTTGTCCCTGAACCACCCGAAGACGGGGGCTCCGGCCTGGGAAGCCAGGCTTTCTGAGGGCCTGGCGCTGTGACCACGGAGCCAGGCCAGGGTAGCAGCCTGGCACCCAGGCCCGCTGCGTCACGCCGGGCCCTGCCTGTCTCGCTCAGGAAGCCTGCGCACTTGAGGCTGAGCTTCCTCTGCCTTCTTCCCCTCCGGCAGGCGAGTGCAGAATGTCCACACGGGCCTGGACCTGGCCGTGCCGCAGCACCAGGAGGTGCGGGGCAAGATGATGTCCGGCCACGTGGAGTACCAGATCCTGGTGGTCACCCGGCTGGCTGCCTTCAAGTCGGCCAAGCACAGGCCCGAGGATGTGGTCCAGTTCTTGGTGAGCTGGGGGCTCTGCCAGGGTGTTCCCGAGGGGGCCCGGGGTCCAGGTGGGCAGGCACATCCGCCGCCAGGGCATGGGTAGCATCGGGGAGCGGGCACTTCTGTAGCCAGCCGTCACTTAGGGCCTGAGAGGGCCAGAGTGTGCCGGCACTGCATGAGCTGGTAAAGAGACAGATGCAGGCGGTGACAGGAGCACACGGCGGCTGGGGGAGTATAGAAGAGGGGCTCCTAGCCTACCCTGGGGAGAGGGTCTGGGAAAGGGCTGTGGGCTCCCTCATATGGTTACGGGATCTCTGCACCAGGGGCCTGCAGCCCACCAGCTATGCCAGCATTTCAGCGGGTGCTGCAGGCACAGCCCTGGCCTGGGAGTAGAAGTGAGAATTTTTGCGTCTTCTTACTCGATGCTCCCACAGAGAAGGTGGGGACAGGACGGGAGGTGGGGGGGAGGCCGCTGGTGGGGTGGGGTCGGGCGCAGACCGGTGACTCTCCTTTGAGCACCGAGTTGGGTCCTACAGACCACGATGGTGGCAGCTCCCCCTCGTGAGACCAGAGCCTCTTGGGGCGGAGACACGCTGGGAGGAAGCAGGCAGCCAGAGCAAGACCTAGCTGCGGGATGGATTCTGGGGAGAGGCTGAGAGGAGGCCGCCATCAGACCCCGGCTCTGCGGGAAGCTGCGCGCTGCCCCAGGGTGACTCCGACGGGCAGGACGCCTTCCGATGGCCAGCAGGCGCCCTGGATGCTTCCTCGAGGTACCGGGGTGCAGACGGGTCCTGGCTGATGGCAGAGAAGCTGACTTTGCAGCATCTGGCTCTTGGCCGCTGGAAGGCTGCAGTGAACTCCCAGGAGAGTGATCAGAGACCGGTGATGAGAAAAGGGACTCGTGTTGTCGCATGAAGATGACCTGACGGCCAGCCAGACCTGAGGTCATCACACAGGCATTGACGGCCGAGAAGGGAAGCGGTGGCCATGGGCACCTGCAGGCTGGGCTCCCCCTATCCACCGTCTCTGCCTGGGCCTGTGACAGTCAGGGCCCGGGTCCGCCATGACTGCCCTTTCCTGGGGCCCTAAGACCTTCATGGCTGAGCCTGGAGTGATCAGGAGGGATAAGGCCTGGAGCCTGAGACAGGCAGCTGGGCAGGGCGTCAGGAAGGAGGCACAGCCAGGGCGCACTTCCTGGGACGGCTGCCCCTGGGTGGACTCTGAACAGCCCGCCCCCTCTTAGGGCCTTCCCTGGGTGGACTCTGAACAGCCCGCCCCCTCTTAGGGCCTTCCCTGGGTGGACTCTGAACAGCCCGCCCCCTCTTAGGGCCTCGGGTTGGGTCAGGGGAGGAGCTCTCTCCTGTCTGCACTCAGGGACCCACGTGCTTCTCTCACTCCAGGTCTCCAAGAAGTACAGCGAGATCGAGGAGTTCTACCAGAAGCTGAGCGGCCGTTACCCAGCGGCCAGCCTGCCCCCGCTCCCCAGGAAGGTCCTGTTCGTCGGGGAGTCCGACATCCGGGAAAGGAGAGCCGTGTTCCACGAGATCCTGCGCTGTGTCTCCCAGAACGCGGAGCTGGCTGCCAGCCCAGAGCTGCTGGAATTCTTAGGTACCGAGGTTCTGTCCCAGGTCCCTGCGGGCTCCCCTGGCCCAGAGCAAGGCCTGGACGGGCTTGGGCCGCAGTGGTCCAGGAGCCCCTGCCTGCGCCGGGTTTCCCAGGCTCCCCTGTACCCGCTCCACTCCAGGCTTCGCCAGGGCCGCCAACCCTCAGAGGCTTGGCTGCCCCCATCCACCCTCGGGTCCTGCCACTAGGGTGTGGGGAGGCACTGGTCCCCTGCAGTCGGGGTCAGACACCTCTTTCTGCTCCCCCACAGGCACCAGCTCCCCAGGGGCGGCAGACCCCAGCAGCAGAGGTGTCTCTGTCCTGGACACAGGCGGCCAGGCCGGGGACGATGGGGAGGCTTTCGACTTCTTCCAGCAGCAGGAAGGCGCGGAGCGGCCGCCCACCCCCCGCCAGGAAGAGGACGCAGGGAAGTCCTCGGAAGAGGAGGAGGCACTGGACCCTCTGGGCATCATGCGGTAGGTCTCCCCGATCTGGGGAGCGCCCCCTTCTGGCTGGTTCCAGGCTCTCTGGGGATGGCTCCTCCTTCCCTGCATCTCCCTGGGCCACCACCCTGTATGGCCTGGTGCGCTGGGGGAACGGGCTGGCTGCTCACCCTCACATCACCAGTGTCTTTGGGACTGGGCTAAGGTGTCACCTGCCCCTCCCTGGTCACAGGTGGCCCCCACCGCTGCTCCTTGGCTCTGCATGGAGGCCTGGCAGAGCTGCCCCCAACCCCCCAGCAGCTCTGAAGCCCAGGGAGCCGGACCCCACCCGCCAGCCCAGAGGCCTGGCTTCTCTGTCCAGCTCATCCCTGGCAGCCGGTGACTTGGGCAGGTGACTGGAGCGCCCTGGGCTGTCACGGCTGTAGCAGGGCTGTTTCCCTTGGCCCCGCCTCCCCACAGGGTGGGTGTAAGGCTCCCGTGAATTACATGTGCGGAGGGAATTGGTGATCCATAAGGTGCCAACGGTGTGTGATTCAAGAGGGTACAGTGAGCCAGGGGCCCTGGCCAGTGGAGTGTGTCCCCTTTATACGTATGTGCACACACATGTACACACAAGCAAGCATGTGCAGGTGCGCGCACACACACACACACACACACACACACACACTGGCTGAGAGCAGCAGTGAGAGCGACTGGAGAAATTTGCCATTGCCGGAAGCCGGTCCATCCTTGCTGCTTGACACAGTCGCTGCAGGAAAGAAACATCTGCACAGCATATGTTTCAAGGGACCTGGCATATATAGCATACTGTTCTTAATATGTTTGCTCCCCTTAGCGCTGTGTGTTTTAACCAAGGTCACCTCTCCAAGAAAGGTTGTTTCCCCAGGTAGGAATTTTTCCCTGAAGTCAGGGAGGGGATGCCTCTCCTAGAAAGGTTGTTTTCCCAGGTAGGAATTTTTCCCTGAAGTCAGGGAGGGGATGAAACTCCTTAACTAAGTGCCAGCCGGGTAGTTAATCACTACAAACAATCATGCTTAAGCTACATAATCTTTACTCCCTGGAATGGAGATAAGAAACGCCCTAACCTTTGTAATAGAAATTGACAGGATTAAAATCAACTGGTATAAATACGGATGTAACAAGACAATAAACAGCAGAACTTCCCTGGAGATCCAGACCAGAACTTGGCTGGAGATCCTGGCTGGAGATCCTGGCTAGGCTGCTGATCAACTGAACACTGTCTCCGTGTCCTTCCTTCTTCGCCGACTCCGTCTACACCTTTGGGGACCCCTGGACCTGCTGGGGTTGGACCCCGGCATGCCATAACATTCCTATCAGCCTTACGTGACCCGCACGCCCTCTGGGGCGTTATTTCAGTAAAACGGGACCAGGGCTTTGCTTGAACTCGCGCTCTCTGCTGCTCTGAGTTGCCACACACAGTGCCAAGCTGAGATAGACTTGGTAGTTTGTGCCAGCCTTTGGCAGAAGGACATGTAGGAAAATGCTCTTTGGGGTTGGCATGGCCACCTGGCTTTCCTCTTTGCATCAGTAGCAGGTGGTTGGGCCATGCATCCACCATCCTGGGACCACCTGTCCCCAAACACCATCCCTAGCTCTGCACTCCGGGGCCTCGCTTCTGAATCCTAGGAGAGCTTAGCACCAAAAGGGGTCCCCGAGGCTGCAGACCGCCTGCCGGCCTTTCGTTTACTGTGACAACAGTCAGTGCTGACACCTCAGGAATGACAACAGCTAACGTTTTTTGAGAGATGATGAAATGCTGGGAACTGATCAGAATTGACGGGAATAAGTGTTTCCTGTCCTATTTCTTCTCTTATTTTTCTAATATGCACCAATGGCTGTTAGTTCCTCAATGGGTCTGGTTTGGGGGATGGAGGCCGCTACCAGCGTGGCCTCAGTTTGTGTCTGGGGAAGCTGAAGCTGGGCGTCCAGGTTCAGCCACAAGCAGCCGAGTAGGGACTCAGGGCCACCTCCCTGCACTGCCCCTCGATTCCACTCTCTCTGCGGTCCCAGAGCTGGGCCGGGCCCTAGCATCATCCCCTTTGCACAGAGGGGGAAATTGAGGACGGAGTTGAGTGGGGACTTGCCCAGGGTCTTTTGTGTGGCAGTAGCACCTTGAAGTCGATGTCCCCTGGCCTCTCCCGGGACACCGAGGTGGCCTGCTGGCTTGCTTGCACAGTGCAGCCACCCTGTCCTTTGGTGGGGCACGTTGTGTTCTTTGCAGGTGACTTACGCTTTGCATGAGTATTTCTCCACCCTGTGCCCTCGGTTCCTCTGCAGCTGCAGCCCCGCCTTCCCAGCTGTGCTGCGCCCCGCCCCCACGCCCCCACACCCCCAAGCGCGCGTCTGGACCGCTCCCGCCCGGTGTTCGCCGCCGCGGCCACAGGAGGGCGCTGTTGCTCCGCCGCTGGAAGGCTGGGAGCCGCCTGCACAAAGCCGGGAGCAGGGACCGGCCTGGCTTTTCTTTGTCTTTCAGACCTGGTTTGGATCAGGGAAAAGATGAGTTCGCAGCCATTAGAAAGCGCTTCAAGATAGAAAAAGCCCTCACCCGGCCCATCCCGACACTGCGCCCCCGGCTGTGGGGTTTTTGTGCGTCCCTGGCCCAGCGCGACCCACGCGATCCACGCAGCTGCAGGCGTTAGCACGCGTGCCTTTCTGTGCGGTTTTTTCACTTGGTGGCCTCTCAGGATCGCTTTCCATGTCGTACGTGGTTTTTGTATTTAACTTCCTATTTCGGGGGCTTCACGGTTCTGAGAAGGATGGAGTTCTGCCGGAACAGCCCTGCCTTGTGCTGGAACGATGCCGCCAGAAACAGGTTCCATTAGGACTTGGAGACGATGCGATGAGCATATCGAAATGGAACGCAGTTGGAAGCCCTTTCGCCGGGAAGGTGTCTGCTTTGGGTCTTCCTGTTTCATTGCCAAATGGGATCTGTCCCAGCGCCATCCCATACTTCGCTTTGCCTTTGCAGCGCATAGGCGCGGTTTTGCAGGGGGATCAGCGGCTCCTGCATTCTCTCTGCGCTGGTCCATAGGCCAGCGCGCCAGCGGGCTGCCAGGCTCCTGCTCGGCGCCATGTTTTCCGTAGGTTTTACTGTCACAGGCGGGAGGGATTTTGTTCACGGACAGAGTAGTTTTGCCCTTGAGCTCCCCCCCAGACCCTGCCCCGCTCCTGCCAGGGCCTTGGCCGTGCCCCTCCCAGTAGCTCTGCATGGACTTCACACTCTGTCGGGGAAGCCTCTGCCTTTTCGAACCCTGCCTGCAGGACCCCCTCTGCCTCCCCCAACTCAGGGACCCCTCCAGGCCCCAGTCCCTGAGGACTCTCGCCTGCCCTAGGGACAGGCTGGTTCCCACAGCACGCCGTCCTAGAGGCCTGGCCTCCCCACACTCATGGCATGCGTCTTGGGAATGCAGACAGCTGGGCGGATGGTGATGGGGAAGGGTCGCGGGACGGGGGGGGGAGGGGGGGGGGACAGTGGGACCCAGGCCCTCGCCCGTGGGTGCAGCCGGCGGCCATGTGCACACAACGGAGTGAGGAAGCAGCTGGGCTGGGAGGGAGTGGCTCACCTCACACCTGTGGCCCTGACCCTTCGCCCGAGTCAGAAACCTGGCGTTGTCCTGGGCACGCCTCTCCCGCCCGCTGACCACTCAGCAGCCCAGACTTAACCACTTTGCCTTCTGGTCTTGTCCCCCCTCCCCCCCCCACACACAGTGGCTGCCCCCCCCCCCCCCCCGAGCTCCCCAGGCCCTGAGCATTTCTCCAGGGACCATGAGCAAAGCTTCCACGGGAACAGGTTCCGGCCATGCCAAGTCACACCCCCCAGACCCTCTCGGAATGAGGGTCTCGGCTCCTGTGCCTCCCTACCCCCTTAGCCCCCCCGGCTGCTGCAGCGTCTCTGTCACCTCTTCTGGAATCGCTGCCTGCGTGTAATCGTCGGTGTGCTGTGCGTGTCTGGCTGCTCAGCTGGGAGGCCGGGGACAGGTTCTCACCCATCTCTGCCGTCATCGCCTGGCACAGGTTCTCGCCTGGGGAAGGTGCCTCGGGAGTCCTGGGTCTGCGCGCAGGGTGACTGCTCCCAGGACGGCCGAGGGCCGTGGCGAGACCAGCTCGAGGGACTGAGCAAGCCTCGGAGGAGGCACAGGGAGCCAGGGGCTTTCTAGCCGCGTGTCCGTGTCTCCGAGCGATGCCGGGAGCCCTCTCTCTTTACTCCCCCCCCTCCCTGGGGGAGCAGGAAGAAATCAGTCTGGACGAAGGATGTACTGTCACCTCTCTGTCCATCTCTGTTTATCTGTCTGTCCTTCTTTTCCCCTTCCTTCTTCTGCCATCCATTCACCTGTCTGTCCATCCATTCGTCCATCCGTCCATTCTCTTTTTTTCCTTAATATTTATCAAGTGTCTGCTCTGGACCAGGCACGCTACTGAGCCCCAGAGACTGAAGGTTGGGGACCCACCGCGACAGGGCCCCGGGCTTTCGGCCAGCCACGGCCCCTACTTCCTGCTCAGTCAGAGCAGAGCATGGCCCAGGCGGCAGGGGCGGAGCACGGGGTGCCTGACTGTGCAGCCCATGGGCCGGGATTCACCTTACTGAACCCGATAGCGGAAGATGGAAACCTCTGCAGGGAGGAACTCCTGGAGTTCGGTTTGAGAGCAGAACTCCGCAGAGGGGAGTCAGGCCTCGTTTGTGCTCTCGCTCCCGAAGGCGGTGGGAGAAGGGAGATGGCGGGACCTCCGTGTGGCTTCACGGGAGATAATCACGTTCGCTCTCGCTCCCTTTGTCCTCCAGCGGCTCCTTCCTCCACGCTGCCTCTCAGGTCTGGCCCGGGCAGCCTTGGCCGCTGCTGCAGGGCCTTTGCTGGGTGGCACACGAGCTTGTTTCTCCAGGAGCTAGAATCCGGGCGGTGGGCCCGGGCCCGGCTCTCCCTGGGCCCTCCCTGCTGCGATCCCCATTGTCCCGGGAGCAGGGACAGCGGTGGGCAGAGCCCGCAGGCCCCAGGCTGGTCCGGTGGCTGCCACGCCTGCCTGATCATCGATTCCACGGGGACTCACACAACTTCCCGACTCGCCCCCGGGGCTCTGGCTCAGGAGGTCTCGGCCAGCCGGGGCCCTCTCAGCTGGCCTGCCCTGAGAGCACGGCCTGTCTTTGGCTCCCACTGCCGTGGGTCATGGACTAACTGCCTGAACCGTGAGGCAAAAGGGGGAAGCACCACAGTCAGCAGCCGCCCTGATTCTCCCAGGTGTGAGCGGGCGGCGCTGAAGGTTCGGGAAAGCCCTGGCTGTGAGGAGGGGCCTGGGCGGCTCTCGGCTCTCCCGGTAGCCAGGCAGGGCCTGGGGCTGGAGCCAAGGCAGAGATGTGGTCCTGGTGGCCTGTGACCTGAGCCCATCTGGCTTGTGCCCAGAACAGAGAGAGAACAGGGAACTGGGTGCCTGGGCTTCCTGGCACGGCCCCCTCCCTGTCTCTGCTCCCTCTCTACCTTCAAAATGGGCTGCTGTCTCCCCAAGCAGCAGGATCGAGCCTGTGTCCCACCCTGTCCTGTGTCTCATTCTTGCTCCTGGGGCACTCTGAGGGGCAGGAGGAGAGGACTGACCGTGACCACCCTCGGTTCTCGTCAGTGTCCCTGCCTGCTGTGTGGCCTTGAGCCGACCCCTCGCATCTCTGAACCACTGTTTCTTCATCTGCCCAGTGAGCCTGACAGACCCTCTGGCCAGGGCTTCGGCCCTGAGTGCGGAGGTGCACTCCGCCCTGTGACCTTCCAACAGGTGCTCCTGGCTTTCGTAGCTTCTCCCCATCCCAGCTGGGAGCCTGAAACCCTCCCAGGCCTCAGAATGCAGACCGTGGGAATGGTGGCCTCCAGCACCTCGCCCCCTGCACCGCCCTCCGCCACTGTTAACTGCTGCTGGTTCGTCTTACCGTTGTTTGGGGCAGAGCCAGCCTGCACGCGCAGTTTCGCCATGTAGTGTTGCCAACAGGAGCTCAGACGGTGACCTCTGTCCAGGGGAGCTGCCCTCCAGGCAGGCAGTCGAACCAGAAATCCTGTTTCCAGTAAAAAGCTTATTCTCGTTTTCAGGAACCTTAAAGTGGCTCATTTAGGCATCAGGGGTAGGGATTAGATCATCTTGTTAAACTAAACACAAGTTTCTTTATTTGTGCACTGGCAGCGTAACCTACAGTGATGTGAGCAGAACTATGCGCTCAGTCAGTCCACGAGAATGTGCATGTGCACTATGAACGCAACCACCCCCCCACCCCCCACCTCCGTCAGGAGAGAGCACCCCCACCGCCCAGAGCTCCCTGCTGCCCCCTCCTGGATTCCCTCAGCAGCTTCTGGCCCAGAGCAGGACCCCTTAGGGGTGACAGAGCCTAGTGGGGCTCCAAGTAGCAGAAGGGCTTCCTGAAGAAGGTGGGCATTGCTTATTGGGATGGAAGTAAATGGTGCTCTCTTGTTGGCATTCTGAGAACAGCACCCTGGTAAGGGACTAGGAGAAATAGTGCCTGTTGTGGGCATTCTGAGACCCTCCTCCTCCACCCCCCTCCCCCCAAGTAAGGGATTAGGCACAATAATGCCCTCTTGTGTATATTCTGAGAACAGCACCCTAGTAAAGTGATAGACGCGATAGAACCCTCTTGTGGGCATTCTGAGAACAGCACCCTAGTTAGGGATTATATTAAATAGCGCCCCCTTTGGGCATTATGAGAACAGCACCCTAGTAAGGAATTGATCTAAATAGCACCTGAGTCCAGCCAGCACTTTTGGGCCTCCACCCTTCCTACAAGTCTCTATGCAGTCTCCAATTTCCGTTTTTGGTTATCAGGGTTCTCTCAAGCTAGTTTTGAGTGGAATATTCAGGATGATTTTTTTTTTGTATTGTAGTTGTAATTCCAGTTTGGTCCTGAGCCCATGTCTGTATAACATCCACTTACTCTGTGGCCATTTTTAATCTCCCTTCTTTTGGACATTCTGATAGGAGATTATGCTCAGTAGCACCATCTTGTGGAAATTTGGGGAACGGCACCTTAGTGAGGAATTAGGCTCAATAGCGTCCTCTTGTGGTCATTCAGAAAACTGCCCCCTAGTTAGGGATTAGGCTCAAAAGCGCCCTTTTGTGGGCATTCTGAGAAAAGCACCCTAGTAAGGGATTAGATGCCATAGCTCCCTATTGTGGGCATTCTGAGAGCAGCACCTTGGTAAGGGATTAGGCACAGTAGTGCCCCTCTTGTGGGCATTTCAAGGTCAGCATCCTGGTTAGGGATGTGTTGCAATAGTGCTATCTTGTGGACATTCTGAGAACAGCACCCAATAATGAAGGAGTTGCAATAATGCCCTCTTATGGACACTCTGAGTACAGCACCTTAGATTGAGGTTATGCCACTCAAGGGCTGGGAGGATGTGAATGGGAAATGGAACATTTATTAAGGCTTCTTTATTCTCTCTCCTGGGGCTGGGTTCTGAGGTTTGTGGCCTCGGGCTTTGTTTCCAAGCGGCATAGAGTGACTGAGTTTCACCCCAGGGAGCGCTGAGGTCAGCCACCCCCACAGCCTGTGACTATGCAGTTGAGCCTGAGGCCTGAGTGGTCCTTCCTGCTGCGGGTCCTCTGGCCACCGGCCATGTAGCCCAGACACCCACCCTCTCCTCCTGTGCACCCGGAAAGTGTTTCCCCGGGCACTGGGCGTGGCCCCTTCTGGTATCAGGGCCTTCCCACCTCCAAAGTCAGGTCCTCAGAAAGGTCCTTCAGGACACAAATTCAAACCCACCCAGTACCTGTGTGGATCTGACATGGCCACCTGGGCCGACTGGCGGGGCTGTCCTCAGATGCCCTAACCTTGACTCTTACCTGTGATTCTCTAGCTCCAAGAAGCCAAAAAAATGCCCCAAAGTAGCTGCGAAGCCCAGACCCTCGCCACGGCTCACCCTCTTTGACGAGGAAGTGGACCCTGATGCAGGGCTCTTCAGCCCAAGCAGGAAGCTCCCCGCCGGGGGCTCCGCGGAGGACGCATGCCCCAGGGACCGTAAGTAGAGCCCCAGTGTGTTCCTGTCACCCTTGGTGCCCCCTGGGTGACCAGACCCGCCTCTGTGAGCGGCTAGGGACCTGCCCCACGTGAACAGGTTTCGACTTGACACAGACTCAGCTCATTTTCTGCTGGAGAAATCTTGCTCGTGCCTCGTTTCTCACAACCTGGAACATTCTGGGCTTGTGTGTGTTTACTCTGCTCATCGCTTGGCAGGGAGGGGACTCTGCTCTGTTGCTGGGAAGTGTGGTTTGGGATTGGTGGACACGGGCACGGTGGACAGTGGATGTGACTGCCCCGGGCCTTCCTTCTGCAGCTCCAGGATTGGAATTGTGACAAGAGGTTCTGTCACCCTTGTCGACCCCACTGGAGGGTTCTGGGCAGAGATGGAAAAGGGAAGCTGAGCGTCCTCAGGACTTCTACACCTGCCCCTGGGCATGACCTTTCCTCACCCCGCCCGGGTCCTCTCCCAGGGCCAGAAATCGATGTCACCCATTAATTCACCCGACACTTGGTGACCACCCCCCGAAGGTCAGGCTCTGGGCTGGGCCCGAGAACATAATGCTGAGGACGACACACTCCAGCCTCTCAGGGCCTCCCATAGGAGCAGGTCATCTCCCGACAATTAGAGGAGAGCCTGAGTCTGTAACAGGTCTGAGTGGCGACATCAGGGAAGGCTCCCTGTAGGAGGAGGCTCTACTTGAGCTGGATCCCGAAAGGTCAGCGCCATTTTCCTGGTCTGCTGAAGAAGGAGGCTCTTCCAGGTGGAGCGGCTGTGGTCCCTGCCTGAGAGCAGCAGAGATAGGGGGTGCACCCCGGCTCCTAGAAGGCAGGGGCTGTGGGGAGAATGCTGTCAGCTCACCCCTGCATCCCCGCAGGTGGCAGCCCTTAGCCAGTGGTTGGTGCTCAGGAAGCACTTGGGAAACGGGGGTGCAGCCATGGGGCTGAGCTAAGAGGTCCAGCCGGGGCAGGAGGCTTTTTCCTCCAGGAAGTCCACCTGGACTTGAACCGAGTGGTGCCATCAGCTGACTGGGGGTGGGAGTGTGTTGGTCCCGATGAGCACCTGGCCCTTGTACCCTGGCCCCACTCCTCTGGTTCTGTGCTCTGCTTTGTCCCTGGCTGGGCGCCCCTCCCCACCACCCCGGCCGCTGAGGATGGGCAGGACTCCCTCTGATCACTCTGCTGCTACGTTCTCTGCAGCCCTGAAGTTGTTTGACGATCCTGACCTCGGTGGGGCCGTCCCCCTGGGTGACCCCTTACTGCTGCCGGCAGCACCTGCGAGTGGAGGGCCCGCGCCTCGCCTGGGCTACGGAGAGGCCGCCGAGGAGCTGTTCAGGTACCCCGTCCCCGGCGTGCTTCCCAGCTCTGCGAGGGGCCTGGGCCGAGCCCAGACCTGGCCCACCGTGGGAGCGTGTCGCCAGCCTTGGCCTCTGCGGGAGGGTCCTGGCCTGGGAAGGCAGGTGCCGGTGGGTGGCAGCTGGCCCCCGGGGCAGCGATGGGACCCAGTGAGGGCCGGCGGGTCCAGCAGCTCGGCGGGTTCCCGGAAGGTAATTTGACGCCTGAGTCATTCTCTTTCCCTTCCACACTCATACTTCAATAGTTTACGTAAAGAATAACAGTGTTTTAAGTGCAAGGGCAAGTACAACTGGCATAAAAGGGCTTGGGAGCACATAAAGCCGACCGTTGGCAGCTGCCGCTCACCGGGACAGCGGCCGTGCCAGCAGGCCCAGGAGTAGGGCTTACCGGGGAGAGCGAGGCAAGTCTGCTGAGGAGGAGGATGGGCAGACGGTGTGCGCACGGAGAGTACTGCTCACGGCCTTGACCTCCGTCCCCCCCATTGCTCCGCTGGGGGCCGTTACCGCCGCTTTATAGGAAATGGAGGGTGGGAGTTCTGAGTGCACTGGCTCCCAGGTCCCCCTGCCCGTGTCCCGTCCTCCCACACCTTTGAGGACCCTCCAGCGCCTGGACGAGGAGAGGCTGGGCGGCAGCTTCCCGGGGCTCAGAGTGCTCAGCCCCGGGCGTCTCTGCCTCGCATCATCCGGGCCCCGGGATGCAGCCGGGCCTGGCGGTTCAGGGGACGCTGAGCTGTGTCTCTGCAGGAACCACCGTGAGGCGGAGGCGCTGGCCCGGGAGACTGGCTGGCACTGCGTTAGCAGCCGCGGGCATTGCAGCCCCCGCCGCCCAAGCCACGCCACGGGGGGCTGCTGCTCGCGTTTGCATCTCCCCGCACCCCGCATCTGCTCACGCTTCTGTGCCCTCGCCCCTGCGTTCTGGCAGGCGGAGGAGCCGGGGTTGTTGTTGAGTTTAGGGGAGAAACTGAGGCTCAGGGAAGCGGAGGACGGGGTCAGCTCCGGTGGCAGCAGGCCCAGTGGGGTATGTCCCACCCAGGGAGCCTCTGCCCCCTGGAACTCGGCTTGTCCCAGCGGGCAGCTCCTGGCGGAGTTGATTCTGAATCCCGTGACGCAGCGCTCACAGGCCTGGGGTCTACACCACAGCCTCGGGGGGTGTCCAAAGGTGTTACCTTCAGTGTGGCGTTGGTGGTATAGTGGTGAGCATAGCTGCCTTCCAAAGGTGTTACCTTCCAAGGGGCCCCGTGGCCGGACGGCCAGGGTGGCACCCGGTGAGCACACAAGTGGCTTGAGGGGGAGACATTTCACTGCGTCCGTGGGACCCATCACCCGGGACGCAGAGCCCAGCTGGCAATGGGGCGCTCGGAAAGGGGGCCCGTGCGGCCACCTGGGTCCGCTCACTTCAGGGGCTGAGCTCTCCTCCGGACCAAGTTCAGCTGGAGGAGGCGGGGAGCAGGGGCCTCACTGTCGTGGGTGGGGTGCGCCCGCCCCCAGTTGGCTCCTGCCCTAGGAGGCTGTGCTCAGGGCGTCTCCCTCTGGTTCCCTAGAGTTGAAGAGGACTTGGACCAGATTCTGAACCTGGGGGCGGAGACCAAACCCCAGCCCCCGCCTAAGCCCAAACCGCCCGTGGCAGCTAAGCCAGCGCCACCCCGAAAGCCCGCTGCTCCCCCCAGAGCGGGCCCGTCCGAGGCCGCGGCCAGGCCGTCACCACCGCCGCCGCAGATCCAGGCCATGGACGAGATGGACATCCTGCAGTACATCCGGGACCAGGACGCGCCCGGCCAGACCGCCCCCAGCCTCTTCTGACCCTCCCTGCCCTGTGCTGGCCCCGGCCGGCAGCCCCTCCCCTGTGCGGAGGTGGGGACGGTGCCTTGCAGGCCTGGACCTCTAGTGCCGAGGGGGGCAGGGTGGAAGCCGGGGTCACAGGACCCCTGTCCTATCTGTGCCTTTTTCTCTGGCCGGTGGGGTCACGGGCCCCTGCGGGGTATAGAGCGGGGGTCCCCAGAGGAATTGAGCCCAGTTTCCTCAGCCACAGCATGTGGAGGGGGAGCTGGTGGGGATCCTGGCTAACGGGAGGTGGCCCCAGGATGGACTGGGACGGGGAGCCCAGAGCGGCTCATGCAGGGCAGGAGACTGTGTCCACTTGTGCCCACCGGCTCTGCCTCCTCAGCACAGGATGGAGGGCCTGCCACCCTGGGTGGGGCTGGGGGCAGCATGGCTCCTGGGCCGGTGGCTCTGGGAGGGTCCCCCAGGAGAGGGACGTTGAGAGGTGCCTGGGGGAGCCTGGCTGGCTGGGGCGTCCCTGAGTCCCCTCTGGTTCCCAGGTACTGAGCAGGGTGCTTTCCTGTGTCCAGTTTAGAGATATCAGGCCAGCCCTCCTGGGGTGTGGGTGCCCAGCAAGCCCAGGTCTTCCTCTCTTCCTTTCCCAGGGGAGACCTGGCCAGACAGACCCTGGCCCCCAGGGCCTCTGGCCATAGAGCCAGGGCCAGCCCGCAGCTCTGAGCTGCGATCCCCGCGCCTGCAGGGCTCGGCCGGGCCTGGGCCTGGCGTGCACCTCCTGTGCCGAGTGGGCTTTGGCAGGACGCGCTCCGGCGGCTGCTGCCAGGCCTCCCTGTCCAGCAGCAGGTGCTGCCAGGCCTCCCTGTCCAGCGGCAGGTGCTGCCAGGCCTCCCTGTCCAGCGGCAGGTGCTGCCAGGCCTCCCTGTCCAGCGGCAGGTGCTGCCAGGCCTCCCTGCCCTCCCGGGGGGAGGAGCCTTGTGCAGGGCAGGGCCAGTGCCTTAGACTCCTCCCGGACCCCTCGCCCCGCACGGCTGCTCAGGAACCCTCCGTGAATGAATGTTTAATGAGCAAAGAATACCTTTTCGTGATCGAGTCTTCACGTTCGGACCCAGTTTTCATGAAACAGGTGTTTTGTGAAATGCAATCACTCTTGTCCCTTGGCTCGTCCTGCCTGGCGGAGGCTTTGGAAGAGGGGGTGAGACCAGGACCCCAGACCTTTCCTGCTTGGGGCCAGCAGACAACCCTGAGGGAGGCCCCCTGCCCGAGCCGGGGGCTGGCTGCCATCAGAGCCTCTAGTCCCCTGTCCCTGCACCGGGACCCAGGGCGGTGGGAGCTCTCCGTCTGACCTGTTGTGCGTCGCACTCGCCCATCAGCTGTCCAGTCCTGGACAGGCTGTCCCTACCCTCCACCTGCGCCAGAGGGAGAGGAAATCGGCAGGGCTGGGGGCTGGGAGCTGGATTCCCCCTCCTCTTTGCCTTACCCAGCTCCCAGGGCCCCGTCTCCTGGCCCTGAGTGGCTCTGGGGCAGCCTCAGGCCTGTGTGCCACTCCTGTTCACTGCCAGGCCTTCCCACCCTGCCCAGCCCTGCCCACTCCCTTGCTGAAGGCAGGGGGGATGGAGTGATGGTGGGAGAGGGAGGCAGTTCTGCCTGGGCTCCTACCTGCCCAGTTCTCAACTCTGAACCCCATACCAGCGCCCTGCCCCTCCCTGTCTGCCCCCCCACACACACACCTCCCACTGACCTGTGACGCACCTGTGCGGGGCTGGCCCTCTGGGGGTCACAGACAGAACCTGCCACTCAGGTGTGAGTTCCTCGGCTGCGACCCCGCCTCCTCGGCGCCCTGGTGCTCGCCAGGCATCTCTGTTGACCTGCTGGTGAGCCAGTGACGCCAGTTCTACAATAAAGCCTGTCGTGACTCCTTCCAGCACTTGTCGGGGTGTTCCTTTCTGCGCCGGGGACGATGGGGGGCAGTGCGGGGTGTCTCTGTGGCAGTGAGCTCAACAAGAGGAGCTGCCCGTGCAGGACCCGGGCCTCCCGTTGCGTGGAGTGAAGGCAGAGGGAGCATCTCGCTGTGTACACTGAGCCCCGGGGGCCCGGGCCCGGTGGGAGTCCGCGGGGCAGTAACTGCTCAGCCAGGACCTGTTGGGCAAGAGGACTCTTCCTTCTCCAGACCTCACCTCCCAGCGCCTTAGAGCAGGGACTAGTCTGGGCGGCCCTTGGACACCAGACAGCCTGTCCACCTGTGCACACCCCTGTCCTGGCCGCCACACTCCTGCCAGAGCCCGGATTCTGAGCTGCTGCTTTATGCCCAGGACCCCGAGGTGAGCCGCCCTTCCGGGAGCCAGGGAGGCCGTGCCAGGTCCACTGGGCTCTGGGTTTGCAGCTGAGCTCCAACTGTGGTTTTGGCTCCTGAGGACGAGGAGGGGACTCGGGGGCAGGAAAATCTAATCAGGTGAGCCCAAAGCCCTCATCGGGCTCCAGGGGCCTGGGCTACCATGGGCCTCAAGAAACAGCATCCTGGGAGGTGCGTCGTGGTCCCCTGGAACCCTGGAGGTTCCCACAAGCCCTCCCTGTGCGTTGGAAAGTGCACAGAACTTAGCTGGCTGGGCTCCAGGACGTGCTGTTTTCAAGGGCCAGAGCCAGACTGCTCCCAGGCCCTGCTGGAGGGCAGGGCAGGGTCCTGGTGGGGGCCCCCGTGTCCCAGGACAGTCTCATCCTGCCGCAGGCTTCGGACAGAGAGGGGGCAGGTTTAGCTTTGTCCCTTGGCCACGTGCGAGTGGACACGCTCTGCAGGAGCGCATGCTAGGAGATTTGCACAAGGTGCCTCATTTCCTCTTATCTACGCCCTGGGCACTATACCCGTATTCTCTCACCATTTTGTAAATCGCCGTCGTCGTCGTGATTATAGTCTCATCTATAGACTGGCGGTTCATAAAGCCGACCGTTGGCTTCATCTTCCTCTCTCAGGGGTTTTGTCTGGTTTTTATTGGTTATATTTGTCAGAAATGTATTCATCTTTTCAGAGACCCCGTTTTTGGTTTTAGAGCTCTAGTTCACTCTCCCCCCTCCCACCCCCCCCTCCAATGAATTCATTTCTATTTTTATTTTCGTATCCATTTCTCCTTTTTTAAGGTGTTTTGTTTTTTTCCTTTCGAATGACACCAGTTATTTATTTATTTTTCTCTCTGTGGTTGATTTTAATCAAAGCATTAAAGGCTCCAGAATTTCCTCTCGCCGTTTCGGCCGCCTCCCGTCGATTTTATCACGCACTGACCTCATTTTCCTTCATCTTGACGAGGTCTGAATTTGTCGCGTTGACTTCCTGTTTACAACTGTTTTGCATCCTAGGAGTGTCGGTATGTTTGTGCTTCTGTTACCCAGGTTTCGTCACTGTTATTCTTGTTGTCCTTTGTCATTTATTTCTAGTCGTAGGGTCTGAGGATGGGAGCCTGTGACTTCTACTCCCTGTCACGTAAAAGTCTTTCTCCACGGAGATTACAAACGCTTAACTGATGTTTTTACACACACATTATGGTGGTGGGATATCTGTCATTGTTAAATGGTTACGTTCCTCGGAGTCCTGGGAGGAGACTGTAGGTCTCCGTCTGTGGTGAAGGTTGGCCGTTCTCCCGGCGGTCAGCTGGTGTCGGTCGTGGATGCAGGTCCCCGCTGGTCTCCGGCTTGGTCTCAGAGCGGTGCCGCGGGTTCCCAGGAGGATGCGACCTCGCATTCGCTCGCAGTCCTGGGCTTGTCTGGCTCCTGTCGCTGGATTTCTGCTCCAAGCCCACTTTTTTGTAGCTCAAGTCACTGTCCTCATAGACGTGCCTGGCCTCCCTGGCATGGGCATCAAGGTGGGCACTTACAGGATCCCCCTCCTGCCAAGAGGGAAGGAGGCAAAAAGATCCTGCCCACTGATAGGGGTCTCCATGCCCAGGCAGCAGGCTCACCTACCAGGGAGCAGGGGCCCTGAAACACCTGTGTCTCTTGGATGGCCGTCGGTCTCTCTGGGCTCCTGCCAGTCAGGCCAGCAAGAACCGCGATTTGGTTTTCTCTTGGCCACGCAGCTCAGACAGCTCTTCTCAGCGAGCCTGACCTCGCAGGCCCCTGAAAACCAGTTGCTTTTCAAGACCTCAACATGTCTGAGGTTTGTCCCGGCCCCTTATGCTCAGGACTGAGGGAGAGGGCCAGCGGGGAGAGATGCCGCCTGCCTAGGGGGGACCACATGACTGAGACACAGGGAATGCCGCCACAAACCCGTGGATAGGGCGCTCCCCGGGGGTTCAGAGGGCATGATGGGGACAAGCCCAGCAAGGAAGGTGGCCTTCCCTGCCAGGCCAAGGGGTCCCAGAGTCACTAGATGATGAGGAGCAGGGGGAGGTGGGAAATGGGGGCGGGGGAGCGATGGAAGGCCTGAGGTGAGTGAAGGGAGGGGGGCAGCCCATTTCTACAGCTGATGTTGAAATCCAGGTGAGAGGCTGCTGGGAGGGCGGCCTCCCAGGTTTGAGGAGCCCGTGTGTGTGTTTGCGTGTTTCCTGGGAATGACATGAGCCGGGGCTTGTCTTTCTTGGCCGCATCTGCGCTGGAGACCAGCTCTCCCTGGTCTGGCAGGAAGCACTGAAGCTGCTGCCAAGACATCTGTTTCATTTTCCTTGGCAACGAGAGGCGTCCTGAGAGAGACTCGAGGCTTAGAGCTGGGAACATCCATAATTCTGCTCTCCTCGCTTGGGAGTTTAAACGGAAGCCCCCAAGCTCAGGTTTAGAGAGGGTCACCCCCGAGGAGCCTGGGCTGCGAAGAATCCAGAATGTGGGGAGAAATGAGCGGGGGCGGGGGAGCCGGAGGGCAGGCGTCCACAAGAGGCGAGGCCTGAGAATGTCCTGAGAATCAGAGTCCTCTGTAGGGTGGGGTTCCCTGCGTGACGTCTGAGATGGAGAAGTTGGGGGGCCGCCTCACAGCCTCCCCATCTCTTGTTCATACCTGCCTTTTCCATTGTAGCCGTCCTCCTGAATGTGAAGTGGCATCTCACTGTGGTTTTGGTTTGCATTTCCCTGATGGCCAGTGAGGCTGAGCACCTTTGCTTGTTCTTAGTAGCCATTCATATGTCTTCTTTGGAGAAATGTCTATTTAGATCAGTGGTTCCCAATGTGGGGCACATGCACACAGGGGGGAAGTTTGATTTTTAAGGGGGGCAATTCAAGAATGAGTTATTAACTGTTAATTTTTTTGCATTTTTTACGGTTCTAGAGGCCTCATATACAGTATATCCTATCTAATAAAAGACAAAAGGGTAATTGACCGTACCTTCGCTACGCTTCCCATTGGCTAATCAGGGTGATATGCAAATAAACCGCCAACAAATATGGCGGCTAATTTGTATACTGCAGGCAGGGCGGGACAGCGCCAGCCGCCAGCACGCCGCCATCCAGGGCAGGCCGGCAACCGGGGAAGGCATGCCCACCACAGAAGCCCCCAGCAGGCGGGTGTGCCCTGCCCTGCTGCCATGCACAGGACCTGAGATCGGCGGGTTCCACGGCGGCAGGGCATGCCCGGCTGCTGGGGGCTTTTTTTTTTTTTTTTTTAACCTAGAACAAAATGGTTTTAATCAATTGCGTCACCCTCACTCTCCTGGGAGCGGAGCAACAAAAAGGCTCGGCTCCTGCCCCCAGAGAACAGTAAGGCTTATGTGTCTCTCCACACTGCAGGGCCAGGGCTGGACAGGCAGGGCACAGCGGGGAGGGAGGGAGGAAGGGTGAGTAGAAAGCAGGGAGAGAGGAAATGGTGGGCAGCTCGAACACAGGAAAGCAAAGGGGCCCCTGGAGGTCTGTGGGCCCAGGGCCCAGCCCCAATACTCCTGGCTCTCCCCTCCTTGGCTGGAGAAAGGTCACGAAGAAGAGACGGGGGAGCAAGTCCCAGCAGCAGCAGGAGCAGCAGCTGTTTCCTTCGCCAATAAATAGACTTCATTACCAAGGAGAAGAGAGGGGTGGAGAGAGGGACTGGGTGGGAGGGTGGGAGAGAAGCTGCCACCTGTGTTGCTGGGATTAAAGCAATGACGAGATAGTGCCAGACCCCCCACCACTATCCTCACCCCCCGTCTTCTTAAAACTGTGAACAAGCTTTTAACATGGCCCTCCTGTCTCCAGGGCTGCTCTGAGGCTTGACTGAGAGGAGGCCCCTGGCAGAGACAGGGGTGGAGGGAGGGAGAACAAGAAGGGGGGCTGCTTCTCCCCAGAGGCTGCAGCTGGAGGGCTGGAGCCAAGTAAGCACCAAGGGGAGGGAGGAGGGAGGGGGAGGACGGATGAACCAACTACTAGGAGCAGCTCCTGAGCTGAGTGCCAAGGAGGCTGGGGGGGGGGGGGGGCTTGGTGAGTGGTGGGGTGACTGCTGCATCAGGGTAAAGCTTGGGGCTGCTGAGGAGGGAGGGGCTGAGTTGGGACTTTCCCATCTGAGTGGCTCAGGAGACTCACCCTCCTCCCCTCAGAGCAGCAGGGGACAGAGAAAAGCCATCGCTTCTTTGGTCTTTGTGGCGGCTCTGCATGTGGGTGAGGAAGGGGAACACGGGCAAGAAGGGCCCTTAGCGGGAGCCCCGCCTCAGCAAGAGCAGGCCTGGCTGGGAGCTCTGGCAGAAAGGTCACGGTGAGGCCAGGAGCGCCTGAGAGAGGAGAGGAGCCCTAGTGTGGACGGGCTGGCAGGGGTGGGCTGGGTACAGTGTGGTGCCCCCTCCCCCGCCAGGGTCCTCCAGGAAAGGCTGAGTACCCAGAGGTACCCAGAAGCCCCCATCAGCCGGCAGGGTGAATCACAAACAAACCCACTTTAAATATAAAGACACATATAGATTAAAAGTAAATGAATTAAGCTGCAGCCTGTTTTTCTCAGTGGATAGAGGATTAGCCCATGGACTGAAGGGTCCCAGGTTCAATTCCAGTCAA